GTCGCGTCTCGGGACCGGGCCGGCCTGCGGTGGTCGCGTCTCGGGCCGGGCCGGCCTGCGGTGGTCGTGTCGCGGGGCCGGGCCGGCCTGCGGTGGTCGCGTCTCGGGACCGGGCCGGCCTGCGTGTCGCGTCTCGGGACCGGGCCGGCCTGCGGTGCCGTGTCGCGGGACCGGGCCGGCCTGCGGTGGGCGTGTCGCGGGACCGGGCCGGCGTGCGGTGGCCGTGTCGCGGGGTTTGGGCGAGCCGGCGGCGCGCCAGCTCCCCTGACGTGGAGACCGCACGACGTCGCTGCGGCGTTCAAGCCGACAGCGCCCGCCGAGTCTTATACTCTATTTTTAGGACTGAGTTTTCAGTTCTGACTTCGAGTTGAGGACTGAGTTGTGTGACTGAGTGCGGGAACGCGCTCAGAGCATTTCCACGCGTAATGTACTCCCGAACAGATCCCAGCCAATCAAGGGTGGCCCGTGCTCATCAGCATTGTCGTAAATCACGCGTATCACGGACGCGGTCATCAGCGCACGGCTCGCTCAGCATCCCAGAACACGCCGTCAGACAAGCGCCAAGCCACTGCCACTACCGCTCATACATCACAAGCCACTTCTCCCTTCCGGGCCACACAGTGACGAGGGGGCCCGCGGGTCGCCGCCGCCGCCGCACGGTGGGGCTGTGCGGGTGGCGGGCGCCTCTGTGAGCTGGGTCTGCGTGCGGGCGAGGGTGGGCGCACCGGCCGGCGGCGCGTGGCGGCAGGGTCCGGCCGGGCGCCATTTGTTGAGGCTCCGCCGGACCGGTCGGCGGCGCGCTGCCGGTCCCAGGCCGGCTGCGGCGACGGGCACGGCGTCTGCTGGGCTGAGGACGGAGCGGTACCCGAAGGCTGGAATCGTACGGCCGCCGCTCCCGACCTGACCGGGCGCCTGCTGGGCTGGTGCTGGGGTGGTGATGGTGGTGATGGTGGCGTCGCTGGTGCTGCTGCTGGTGGTGGTGTGTTGCATGGTAACCGGGCGTCGTCGCCCACAGCAGGGCGCTCCTTCCACAGGAGACAGCCGGCCTCCTCGCTGCCCGCTGCCCGTGTCGAGGGACGAGGGTCCCTCTGTAAAGCTACCCCGTCACTGGCAGTGTTATCACGCATCAGCTGACTTTCAAAGCTGTAATGAGCGCACGGGCAGCTTTACGGCGGAGTTCATAAACCAGCGAGTGATGTTACCAGTGCGCTGGTGGCATCGGGACAACAGCGCCGAGCCACCGGGCGTGCCCTGTGAGCAGGTGGCGCCACCGTCTGTTGTCTGAGAAGGCGTGGGAAGTCATGCACTGACCCGGCCCACTAACCATACCCAATGCTTGCTGGTGCCTTCGCATGCGGCTGCGTGTGGTCTTTTGTTTCCTGGTATCGAGCTTGATGGCTTGCTTGTCGCACCTAGCACCAGTGGTGGTAGCAGTCCATTTCTTGTGTTTTGCTGGTTAAACGATGCTATAGCTTCGTAAGTTAAAAAATAGCGATGTGACTTGAACGTGGGGTAAAGCCTAGAAGCAACAGGAGCCTCCGGTGCTCTAAGGAATGTTAGTCAGTGTGCCCTGCCTGCACCAAGCGTAACCCATTGCGTTTCACGCATGAAGCATTCGTCATTCATTGCGTGGCCCTGCTTTGAGCGGCGGCCGGCCAAGCGCCGCCTGGTGGTGACGAGGCGCGGCGCCTCTGTCCGCGAACCGGCTGTGTCCGGTTTCGCCTAACCGGCTCTATCCGGTTTCAGCCGGCGGCCGTCCGGCCAAGTCGCATTCGCGCAGCCACTCGGGCAGTTACGACGGCGACGCCGGCGTGCCGCAGTCGAGCCTGCATGGCAACAAGCGGCCCAACAACCCACGCGTCACCGGCCTCAGCTACACGGAGAAGACCACGCTGCTCTCCAGCGACGACGAGTTTCCCTGAGCGCCGCGCGTGGCGCCACCTGTGCTAGCCTAGTTGCTATGGTCACCGTTAGATGTCTCTGTGCGCGCGCCCGCCGGTCGGCAGTAGGCAGGCGACTCTGTGATTAGTTGGGTGCTAGGGGAGGCGCGGTCCGTGGGCCTGCGGTGCTGCTGCGGCGGCCCGAGCTCCAGTAGAGACATCTTTGGGCGGAATGTGCGAACACTGCCGCGCCTGATCCCTGCTAGGTGCCACTTGGACAGGATTAGAGGGTGATAATTATGCTAAGTTGAAGCGTCGACATGGCTTTGCTTGGTTGATTTCGTAATGGAGGCGTCAACCGCTTTGTATTGATTTTCTATAGCATTTACCGGAATCGTTGTTACTACTTTGTTAATTGGTCGGCACGCCATAGCTCTCTTGCACGCGCATTTATCGATCGCTCCCTTGGCCGGGCTTGAAGACGTTGCATGTGAAGCCATTAGCGGCGGCTGCTCCAGCGCTGGCCCCTGCGACCTTGTGCGTGTGCGGCGTTTGTACGCCTCGGCGTGGCGTCGCCATCTACTTACCGAGCGCCGGGTGAGATTACGTACTGGCTGTCGCCGACGGAGCGGACCCCGCGCGCTGCGACGCGCGTGCCCACGCACGTGCGCCTATTTATTCGGTGTTCCCCGCGGCGCGGCGCCATGAGCGTGCGCGTGCGCCGCCAGGCGAGAGATGCAGATCCTGATGCCAAAGTGGGCGCTGCGCGAGGCCGTCCAATGCCGCCGGTGTTGGTCTGTCGTGCGCGGCGTGGCGCCCGCCACGCCCCGCTGGTTGGCCGACGCCGCCGCTCTTCCCGCTCCCCCAGCGGCGACCACGCACTCACGTGTCGCGACAGGACGGCGGCGCTGGTGGCGTCGATCGCTTCGCCGGGCTCGTGATCGGTGGACGGGCGCGCTGGTGGCTCGTGGCTTTTGCGCGACTGTCGCGCGCGCGCTGGTGCCCCCTCTCCCCTCTCGCCCAACCTCTGCGAGGGTCCGTGCCGGCCGGCCCCCGCAGCGTGACGTCTCGCGGCCGCGTCGCGCGCCGTTGCCGGCGGCGCCCCCGGCCTGGCCGGCCGTCTCGGCTGCGGCGCCGACGGCTGTTTGCGCGGGCAGGTGTCGGCCGGCGCCGGCTGTGGTCCGACCCGGCGCGACAGTCAATTGAGCGGGCGTCACGCGGCGGCCACTGCGGCACGCACGGCGACCCCGCCCCTCCCGCCGCCGCCGCGCCGTCGCCGCCCTCCCTGGCGCCGACCGCGGCAGAGCCGCATGCGACGGCGCGCGGCTGATGGCCGGGGAGGGCGGCGGCGGGGGTGGGGAGGAGGGCTGGGGTCACGGGGCGCAGCGGGCCGACGAGACGGTGAACGTGTCCGCCACCCTGAGCGAACGACACGCGAGGAGGTCGGTGCCTGTTGGATACGGCCTTGCGGCGTGGCCGCCGCTGCTCCGCCGTCGGTGTGCCCGTGTCGAAAGCGTGTTTGCGCGCGTCTCTGTCACGATTGTCGTCGCTGTGGAGGGACTGGCAGACTGTCGGCGATCTCTTTCCACACCTTCGTCATGACACGTTGCCGCGTGGTCGCCGTTCCTGCATTCTGTGACGCGGGAGGCCGCAGCCGTCCCGCACGAGTCGTGCAGCGTCCGCCTCCGTCCGGCGCTCGCCGCGTAAACGGCTGCGCGGCGCCGACTCGTCTTCTGCTCTCGCGACGCGCAGTATTCTGTCTCGGGGGCTGGCTTCGGGGTCGCGGCGACGGGCCGCCCGCTGCCTGCGACGCCCTGACGCACCTGTTGTAAAAACCACCGGCTCTGCGGCCGCTGTTGTATCGTGCCGTCTGTGTTTTCGACTCGGAGAGCCGCTATTGTAAATATTTATTTCGTACATGTAGCGTGCGATGCGGCGGTCGTCGTGGCGGGCGTCACTGCGCATGCGCCGGCAAAACCATCGGCGGGCGTCAGAAGACGCTAGCTGCTGCGCCAGACCTCGCCGCGACGCGAAACTGCGCCGGGTGTCAGGGTCTGCGTTTGAAAGTCTCTGTTAGATCGATTCGTGAATGTTTATCTGACGACGGAGCGGACGCGTGGCGGTTAGGTGAGGGAGCGCGGAGCCCGCGGGAGGAGAGAGCGTCGCGCGGAAGGAAGAGCAAGGAGGCCGGTTCACGTGGGCGTGCGCCAGTGCGGCGTAGCATTGTATGGCTTTGTCGTGAATAAAACCACAAAACGGGCGCGTCAGACAGGGCTGAGGAAGGCAAGGCTCGAATGTTGCAGCGGCGATCACGAGATAGGTCGTCTGTAGGCTGCTGAGTGGGGTATCCGTGTGGTGAACAAACGGCGGCATTTAAACATTTTGATACACACGCAAATGCACTCGAAACCGCAGCGTTTCCACACTTAAATGGGACGGCAACGTAAAAAGCTGGCGCCACTCACACTAACCTGACAGGACATGTGGTCAAACAGCGCTGCTTTAGTCGCCCAAACCTCATAGCACTGAATGAATCCGGCTCCAAACTGCGAACCTTCCGGTGTCATTTCTACATGTCAGGATGCACCCGTGCCTATCAGCGGAGCGTTTCGGGTCGGGCGCGATGCGTTTCCAACCATCGATGCGCCGTGCAACGCCATCGTGTACAATTAATAAGTACATTTACGCAATATGTGCGGTGTGGTACATCACAAGTTCGCCTGGCGAAAAGAGCGCTCGCACCAGCAGCATGACTGCGAATGAAGAGGAGTGGCTGCAAGCTAGAAACACAACGTGGTGGTCACCATTCGCAGTAGCTGTACCCCACTTTTTTTCTTGCTCACCACCTCACCACATAATGGATCCGGTAGCCCACGTGACTGGCACTCATTATCGCGAGACACCGACCCCGCGGTAACGCACGGCAGGTGCGCACGGCCGAAGCCCAGCGTTGGGCCTGGCGCGTCGCGACCGGATGAACGTCACTCACCCAGGGTGACGAGACAGCGGATGACGTCGTTCTCACCTAGCTCCTCCGCGACACCGGGCGGGTTGGCACCGCAAAACCAGCCGTCGTTGGCGTCGGTGGACCAGTGACGTAACACGCCACTACCAGTGACGTCACTCGGGCCAGGGCTCCTCTTCGGCACCCGGTCGGTGTTTGCAGTGATTACAGCGCCGCTCACGCATCAGGAAGCAAGGCACCAGACCCAGCGGGAACAGGAGCACGCCGAGGAAGACACCGCAGCCGGTGAAGCGGTTCTTCAACGTGCCCACCTGCAGAGGGGAGAAGGGGAGCAGCGTCAGTAGTGTCACCGTCAAGAAAGTTTAGGAGCAGACGGACGGGATGCCAACCCCGGAGCAGCAGGCCCACAGATCCGACATTGCGTCGATTGGGAAAAGTATTCTGACATCTGTGTCTTGAGTCCTGGGCAGCGGTGTAGTATCTTGTTCAGTTCAGGGGGGGGGGGGGGGGAGGGGGGGAAACTATAATGGATCGCAGGGAGGACGAACAGTATACACCTGAGACCATTGCTGCCGCATAGGAAGACTACGGTGCTCCCACTGATCATTGCTCTTATATATCTTTCAACAACAGGTTTAAGCAATTAGGTTCACGAACACTGCTTTTATACGTGACGCTGGCCGCCATAATCTCAGCACAATTAGCAAAATAGAAGTGAGGAGCCAGGTCCTTGGTGGGAGGGGGGGGGGGGGGGGCGGGAAAGCGTGCCCCTGTCGATCTCCGGTCGATCCCGGGGTCCATCAGAGGTGTAATTAAAAACGGTTTTGTGGGCGGGCGGGGGGGGGGGGGGGGCTCTGCCGCGGGTCAAGTGGCCGAGTGTTTATCCTCGGGAGCATCCATATGCTATGTTATGTTTGGATTTTCGGCACTCCACGCTGCCATCTGCACGAGATTGAAAGGTATGCCATACTTTTGTGAGCTGTGTTATTTCTGGATCTACATGACTATCGCGTGCAGTTCCCTGCACCCGAGTCTCACATTCCACGGTCTGCAACATTGAGCGTCCGACGGCAGGAACGGACGGAACGGTTCGAAGCCGGCGCGGTACGCTCCTGGCAGCAACGTCGTTGCGCTTGTGGACACAGCAGAGGCCAGTCCGGCGCGGGGTGTCCGGCTGCCGAAGCGGGGCTGGCGGGGTCGAACGGCTCGAGCTTCTTTGTCGCCGTCGGCCGCCTCAAATATTGATGCCGCCTGGACAGTGACGCATATAACTTCTGTTTGCACAGCGAGCAGGAAGTTTTACGGTGCGCTGGGGCACGCTCGCTCCGGGCCGCGGCGCTTCTGCGGCGTCGCCGCTGACGAGGCGTCGCCATCGACGGAGGCCTGGGCTGGGGAGGGCAGGCAAGGTCGTTCTCCTCAAAGGCGTAATTTTTCATCTCGAGGTTGTTGGGAACGCGTCTACGCCCCCTCCCCCCCCCCCCTCCCGCCCCCGACGACGCCCCTGCCTGCCCACGTCGCTAGGTCTTACGTCTTACGGGCTTGCCACTAAGCTGTTCCCATCCCCGCTAACGAGGCTCTATAATAGCTTCACTTGTGAGGGGGCGGGCCTGATGAGAAGGTCAGCCGCGTGGGCGGGGCGGGAATCCGAACGCCCCAGCGTCGGCAACCCTGCGGACTTGATTTACGTGTGTGCCATAGAGGGGGTTCATAACGTGTATGGTGTCTGCCATCTGTTTGGCTACTTGTTAACATTTGCACGCCGCCGAAAGGCTAATGGTGAAGTGGCGTTTCCGGGTCAGCGCGTGCTGATACTAGCAAGACGGCACCCACAACTGGTGGATTGCTCGTTTCACCGACAGGTCGAGTCAACAACGTACATTTCTCCACTTCGCCATCCTTTTTGCCGCGCCCTGGCGGGCAAAGGCGTGCGGCGTTGCATTACCAACTCCTTGGTGCACGTCTTATTCGTGATAAGTGTTTTTCGAATGGTCATCTGATCTGACGGGAATTTGTCCATAATGAGCATATTTATATACGCATATGCATATATAATTATATATACCGTCGCATTATATACATACATGTACATATATATATATATATATATATATATATATATATATATATATATATAATGGAAGTCTGCTCATGATAATGCCGCTGCATGGATGACGTCCAATCTGCTTTGTACCCAGACAAAATTTGCGTAGCAGCATAGCACAAAACGCGCAAACCGTTGATATACAGCGGCAACCGACCAGAGCCCATTAAAGCAGGTCCAAATGCCGGTGTCTTGTATATCATGTATGCGATTGTCCGTGACCTGACCCTGCTGATTTGTCTCATCATAGAACGCATGAATTAATTCACGAGTCAACACACGAGACCCCGTTACTGCCGCTCCCCCTCCGCACTTCAGGTGTTGGAGCTGGCGAATGCGGCCCGACAACGCACGTGTATGGCATTGTTGGGTCACGCACCTCGGACTCGTACTTGGCATCTCCCGCGAGGTGGGAGAGAAGCAATGGGAAGAATCTCCTTTCTCATCAGACATGTGCTTGAATCCCAAGTATGGATCCAGGACCACATAGTGCCCATGTTTCAGGGACCTTTTTCTGTGCTTCGGGCCATTGGTGTCACGTATAGCCGATGCTGATTTGAGCCCCTCAATGTTTTTCGGTGTCTGAACTACTGATACACTAGGTACCTAAACACATCACTATCAATATCATCATCATATATCATCATAATTGCTTTCACACCGGCTGCAAGTGGAATGTCATTCCTCAGCAATAAATCAAGTTAAAACCGACCCAACAGTTTTTGTTTTATTTTGGCATTAGGTACCCCGTTCAGAATGCCCGATTTCCGGTGAGAAATCAGGACTTGGAGGTAAGTTAGGTTAACTTTATGGCTTCAGCCCCTCGACCCTTATTCAACCGATTTTAGAAAGTGGCACTCCCGCTCCAGGTAAATGTCTGCATCTCAACAAGCACAACCGAATCCGGAAAAATTCCTCAGCGGCGTTAGGCTCCTCCGACAGTTTCACGCCTCCAGGCCGTCCAAAAGCGGCCGCGTTGGGTGGGCCGGCGCGGTGCCAGCAGCCACACCCAGCGCTGGGGCGTTGGGGGCCGCTCGCACGAGCCCATGGATACGCCAAACCCAGCAGTCACCGCGGGCGTTCAGAATTGACGTGGTCCTGGTGGAAGGCTCCGCGGTGGACCTTTGACGGCGGAGGGGACAGAGGGTCAAGGGCAATCCGTGTATGAGGACTGGCTCCGCGATGGGTCTTACCCTCCACGGCCGGCTTTTTACGGCGGAGGGAAGACATGGTCAAGGACAATCCGTGTATGAGGACTGGCTCCGCGATGGGTCTTACCCTCCACGGCGGGCTCTTTACGGCAGAGGGAAGACGTGGTCAAGGGCAGGCCGTGTACGAGGACTGGTCCTACGATGGGCCTTTTATGGCAGAGGGGTCACAAGGCCAAGGGCAGGCCGTGTATGAGAACCGCCTCGGCGGTGGGTCTTACCCTGCAGACGGGACAGCGCACGCTCGTGGGCGGCAGTCTGTAGTAGGGGTCGTCCGGCTCCTCGGGGCTACCCATGGTGTGGCGCGGCTCAGGTCCCTGCGGTGGGTGGGACTCTCAGACAGACGCCTCCCACGTGCTCATGGGGGCATTGTCGTTATACAGCGGCGCATCACGTGCTCACCGAACACTGCTGTTGCACAGGTGTTGTTCTCCGCAACAGCGGCTAGCAATGTTAAACGTTAAACATGCCTGGCAGCCGTCAACATGCCCCTGTTGGATATATGAGCATCTCTTTGGCATAGCGGCATAGCCAGGAAAAGTGCCCTGGTGGCAAATCGGGTTACCGGGGCCATCCCAGCCCGGGGCCTCTTCTACGTCGCTTAGGGGCCCTGTTTTTGGATTTATGGTATGCTTTCACTCTCGGACTCGTAGGGTGATGCATCTGGGGCCTGTTTTATGTTTTAGAATACTTGCGGACGTCTTGCACTGCCAAAAGACGTTAGAGCCTTTGGTCCCAGGCAAGCCCCACCTTCAGGGGCAGAGGGAGTGGTGGGATGGGGAAGGGGGCACCACCCTAAATCTGTCTGGCTATGGCACAATGCTATCACATCAGCAGACCGTTCTGCAGACTGAGCATGGCAGCTGCCGAGGATCTACGCACACAAAATGCATGCCATTGGCTTGACATGAAGGGCACAGAGCTTGGGCCACCTGCCCGGAATGCCTGTGAAACAGCGGCGTCTGAACAAATATCGTTTGACAGAGCAAATACATGCCCTACTGCTTTCACTCGCCTCGCCCGCGGTTTACGTGACTGGAGCACCCATGAGGGTTATGCAACGTAAGCTATTTACGGCCCCAAGCGCCACTCCTTATCCAGGACCAACGCGCGGCTGGTATGTGCCATCGGACGTAAACCCACCCTGCTTCCGTTCTCCTCCGCCAGGTGGGAGGGCGGTGGCACATTGAGAGCGATGGTAGGCACCTCCGACGGTCTCTGGCTGTCCCCCATGTGGTGCACCTTCTTGGCCCGCGGCCCGGGCGCGATCATGGGCTCGCTCGGCTCTGGCGCACCGGCGCGGACTCCGCTGGTGCTCGCAGCTGTGAAAGGTCATGCGGTCAGGGCAGCAGAGCTGTTGTTACTGCTAAGCGGACTGGCGCAATGGTTTCAGTTAAGCCCTTGGCGACACAAGGTGGAGGTAATGAAAAGGCTCGAATAGAATTTACGCTATTAGATGAGAATGATCGTGATATGATGGAGCATTGTCTCAATCATACGACGGAGTTAAAGATGGAGCTTTCAGTTGCGTCGACGACTGTAACCTCATGGCCGAAGGCGCATCGGAATCAACAGTTGATCAACAGTACAACAGTTGATCAGATTGTTTGCCGACATTGCAGCATGTACCAATAATTTCATACTGCATGAGCATTTCCCCTGTTAACTTTCTCGTGACTAAAATCAAGAAACAGCAAAAACAATAAACTAACGAAATAACGAACAACGCCTGAGTCTTACCTGGTGGCGAGATAAAGAACGTTTAAAGCTTTGAGCGGTGTCTGCCTTCACGTAAGTAAAAAGTCACGCTTGAAGGCAGGTCGACTGCACGCGCTGTCACAGCAACACCTGGCGCTGCTGTGACGCTGGACTCGAACCCCCTGTTTCGTCCACCCACGCCAGAGACAGCGCGCTTCACAACAGTCCGGCACCACTCCACACTAGCAGCGGCACCACCACACCAGCAGCGGCACCACCACACCAGCGGCGTCACCACTGCGCTCCGATACGTCCCCCTCCGCAAGCGCGTCACCCAGCCTCCCCTCGCGTGACCGTTAACTTTGCGGAGGTGACGACCCCCACACAACGCTGCGGCACACGACCCCAACATCCAATGTGAGCCGCCTCCACACGGGCCGTGCCGGCCTCGTCACCGGCCACCGCGCGCGGCGTCAGCTCCGGACCTGGCGCTGGGTCACACAGCCGCTGGCGCCACCCGCTCCCACTGGGCGCCGCCCGCCGACGGTCGCAGCACTCCGCCACGGGCTGCCGTCCGTGACGGCGCCATCGATCTACCACCTGGGCTTCTGGGCCCGCTCGAGCCCCGCTCTGCTGCTGGGCGCCCGCGCGCCGCCTGTGAACCGCTGCTGGGCGTCCTCGAGCAGCTCCTGCACCACTCCTGGACGTCCCAGTGTGACTCCAATACCGCTCCTGGCGTCTGAGCGCTGCTTCTACACCACTACTGGACGTCTGGGCGTCGTTCTTACGCCACAGCTGGACGTCTGAGCTCTGCTCTTACACCACTGCTGGACGTCTGAGCGCTGCTCTTGCACCGCTGCTGGACGTCTGAGCTCTGCTCTTGCACCACTGCTGGACGTCTGAGCGCTGTTCTTACACCGCTGCTGGACATCTGAGCGCTGCTCCTGCACCAATGCTGGACGTCCAGGCGATGAATATCGAACTACTGCTAACTTCACACACGTCCGTTCCGGGCGTCTCCAAAACCCCTTAACAGCACCACTCACCAGACGCGACTGGAGCTCCCCTCCCAGCGCCTTGATTCCTCGCGGGTGATTGGATGGGTCACGGGCAGCAGGATAAAGGTGAGCTCATTCTTAACACCGCAGCTTCCAACAAGCGGCTCACATCGTGGGAGAAACTCGCGGTAACCGCCTCGGCAATTACTTAGCGGAGCATTTTGCTCGGAAGGCAACGCGCCAGTTACTCAAGCCGCAGTGGCTGAGGTTATAGAATTTATGTCATTTCACACAAGGAATTATTATAACGCAGCTTGATGTCCGCAACCGGTGCCCCTGACCCGCTAAAAAAACCCAAAGAAAACCGGCATGAGTGTGAACTGAAAGCACCCTTCCGTGGACGTAGGCGATTCTATCCTTAGCTAACGCTCAGCACGCTGTGTCATTAACAGTCGCTGTTTTGAAGATTGGAGGGCTTTGGGGAGTCAATTTATGCCCGCAGATACCGAACGAATCCGAACCTCGCATGGCTTGGCAGATTTCTGAAAACAGCGTACCTCTTGCATGCATACTTGGACTGAGAAAACTTGGTAAATCTGTCGCGCTCGCTACGACTGGTGTAGCGAAGGGTAGCTTCTGATCAGGCGATTTTAATTTTTATGAATGTAAATGTCTAGTACAACGTTTTGAATTGATTTTTTCTTCCTTCAGCGGATTTCCTAAGCAGTGCTTGTGGCGTGAGCCCCGATCCCACTATCCGATTGTAAACTCCCGGGTCAATGCCAGAGCTTTGCAGCCGAAGCTTAACATATCCCACCGCTCACCACGGTTCGTCCCCCCTTTAAGGTCACCTGGCGCGACCTCTGCTACCGGTCGCACGCCGTTCCAGGCTGAGGCAAATCGCGAGCACGTTAAACGACTCGAACCCATGCCGCCACTGCAGGTTGACTCGGAAGGCGAGCTCTCTAACCAACAGAGCTGTCAAGACGGAGAAGGCTGCTGGATATTGTGGGGTTTGGAAGGTTTTGGAAGAACTGGCCATTGTGGGCTTTTGGTTGGCTTTTCAAAGGCTGTTGAGTATTGTGCAACTATGCAATGTGTTCACTTGGAGGGACGAATGCGCCTGAGTTTTGGCACGTATGCGTTCTTTCGATGCTTTTTGTTGCGGTTTTGCAAACTGGCATTTACCTGTTAACCATCCGATGCAGGAGTCCACGTTCTCCACCATGTCACTGGTGGTCTTCAGCGAGCCCGACGTAGGAGTCCACGTTCTCCACCATGTCACTGGTGGTCTTCGGCGAGCCCGATGCACGAGTCCACGTTCTCCACCATGTCACTGGTGGTCTTCGGCGAGCCGGACGCAGGAGTCCACGTTCTCCACCATGTCACTGGTGGTCTTCGGCGAGCCCGATGCACGAGTCCACGTTCTCTACCATGTCACTGGTGGTCTTCGGCGAGCCCGATGCACGAGTCCACGCTCTCCACCATGTCACTGGTGGTCTTCGGCGAGCCCGATGCACGAGTCCACGTTCTCCACCATGTCACTGGTGGTCTTCGGCGAGCCCGATGCAGGAGTCCACGTTCTCCACCATGTCACTGGTGGTCTTCAGCGAGCCGGACGCAGGAGTCCACGTTCTCCACCATGTCACTGGTGGTCTTCAGCGAGCCGGACGCAGGAGTCCACGTTCTCCACCATGTCACTGGTGGTCTTCAGCGAGCGATGCGTCAGGCACGTGCCTTCCGGCCTCTTTTTCGGTGTTTCGGCGTGCCAGCTTAGACAACGGGCCTTCGTCAAACAAGCGCAAATCTAGATTAAGTGGGCCAGACTATCTCTCAGACAGCTGCATGTGCTGAGCTCTGAACTCAAACATGCAGGGCTTGCAACACTGAAGCCTAGTTAGGACAATGGCGCCGGCATAATGCATATTTTAGCCGCTCGGACCGCTGCCTGGACAGGCTAGGGCTATAAATCAAAAGTTGGATTTCAAATGCAGATGGCAAGCTATTTTACCTTAACATTAGAGCCGAAGTACAGGTCTATGAAGACGTCTCCACAGCAAGGCTTGTTATGTTTCCTTAGTAGATGCTGCCGATCACTGTCTTCGTGCGAGGGAGGCTAGACGCTATACACCTTTGCTGCAGTGCGGGACAAATCATTCGTCCTTTAGGTGTCAAGGTAATGGTGATGCCTGGGATTGAGGATCAGCTGGGAGTCCCGCCCAGGCCCGACCTTCAGACCTTCATGAAGTCATGTAAATTACAACGTAGCGATTTGAAAGTATTCTACTTGGTTTCATAATCGCAAACGACCTGCCTTGTGTCGTAGCTAATCGTCTTTGTGCTTGTATTTAATCATTTAACACGCCACAACGCCACAGCCGGCTAATCTGTGCCAAAAGCTTTGCAGGAGCAAAGCATCGAATACATTCTTTCCCAAAAACACCACACTACCAGACGTCCAACTTCAAAGGAGCTACGGGCAAACAGTAAGACTTAACCTGCAAAAGTCCCACATCAGTCTCAGATTGTCCTTAAAGGGCCGCTGTCACGAAATAGGACGCCGCGTGCTCTTGCATCGTTATCGCTGCATCGTTGCATCGTTGCTTGGCCAGTTGACCAGCCAGTGGGATCCACGTGCCCGAAGTGCAGCACTGCGGTCTGCTACCTGGCACGGGCACTCCCCACAGCGGTAAACAAGATCCAGCGAGACTGTCCACATTGCGCACGGGTTTTTGAAATGCATGGGGGTTCTGTTGTTGCAGAAAATCGGCCTTAGAAAAAATCTGGGTTGCACGTTATTAGGCGTCGTTTGGCAAGCACTCAATCGACTGTAGATCAAACGCCGTTTTTGACCATGTGAAGAGATATGCTCAAACATATTATGGTTTTTATTTTATGCTTCCCTTCAGCCGGCACATTCGAATCAATTAGCACGCGAGAGTCCTCATCCTCCGCTATTGATGTTTCAAACAGCACGGAGCCGACCGTCCCCGTCTGCAAATTGGTCTTTTCACAGCAAACACTTCCATTTTTTCCATAAATGTCATGGATAATTCTGGATACCATGATTCCTGTTCCAGCCACCAGCATGAATCGCGGAGTTACACTGCTGGGAGGGGGCGGGGCTCGGAAAAGGGGGACGAATTGCCGCCCTGTCGCTCTTAGCGAATCCCACTAGCTAATGATATCCCAATGGGACAGGTTGGCTTGCATCGCACCACACACAATGGTGTGATCGAGACCAAAGCGTTCTCAAAAACTGTCCTCTCCCCATGCTCATTTAGAAAATATTGTGTTCGGGGTCCTCCACCAACAAATCTCGAGTTATTAGCGGCCAAGAGACCCAGTTTCCCCGGACTACAAAAGATGTCAAAATATCATTCGAAGGCGAACACAGCGTGCGTGTTTAGGCTACGCTTCCGGGCGTACGGGGCTGCTTTGGCTATTGGTGCCTGGCTCGCTGCGTTGGCTGCAGCAGGGCAGGCTGAAACACACCAACGGAGCTGCGGTGAGTGCCGGACTCAGGTGCGAACAGAG